CGCATTCATCAGTGCACTGGTTTTGGAGTCACATAGGGTGCACTGGAACAGAAAACGATATTTCAACTTTCTAAAGATAGCTGAATGTTAGGGGGAAACGAGGAAGACGTGGGGGCAGCAGGTGTTCCAGCTAGTAGAGAGTCTTACCGGCTAGTATTTTCTCGGCGCATTGAACAAATGGCTGTGACATAAGGTTCTGCATTTATCTGTATGATTTTAAAAATTATACACTTATCTCAACATCCACTTTATAATTCCTTATTTTTCTCTAGACAGATTCCTGCTTGCTTCCCCGCAGCTGTACAGTTTCTAGTTGCGTCGCCGCCGATGCTGACGCGCTCTATGCAACGCTTCTCCGGTTAGGTTCTTTGGTTACTGGCATAAACCAATAAATATAAGAATTTTAGCTCGGGGTGAGCGACTTGTTGAGGCCCTATACGCATCAACAACAATGTTAATAGAGGACGCCTACATAATATCGTGTGACTGAAGCCGCAGATATCTTGCTCTTGAGGATAGTGTTAACATTTAATTCAATGGGCTGCTGTTTTATTTCCATCCAAGCGTGTATCGTCAGACTAGGAAGGTGGACTCAAGTCAGCACCAGTAGCATCTCCTCTCCGTAGCTTGTAGAGATTTTCCCGCTTGCGTGCACGTCGGCTACTGATGGCCAAATAAGCACTCACCAATTACCTACAATGTTAATGCATGCATCAGCAGGGGGCTTGGGTGCACCTGCATGTGGATTTGCCTTGTTGCAGCAGGTGTAGTATGGTGAGTTGCGATTCATCTCCTCACCAGCCTCAGGCCCTTCGACGGCCTTGTCCAGGACGCGCAGACAGTTTAGTAGAGGTCAGCTGTTTTTAGAAACACTTAACTCAGAATTTCCCCTTACTTCATCTCTCTACGGCCTTCCACTGAGATCGACGACCCCCGCCACAAACCCTAAACCCTAAACCCTAATGAATGAATAATCATTTATAGAGGAGTGAGAGGTAATGATAAACGACCAACAATTAACTAAACTTTAAAGAATAAATTATAAATGCAAAGATACGCCAGGTAAACAAACAGCCAGACCCTAAACCCTAAGACCTAAGCCATAGAAAGACCGTATCGATCATCTCGTTCGCATTCTCTTACTACAAATGTTTTCTATGAACTGCCGCCAAACCCTACAGGAATTCTTATACTGCAATAGAAACTTGAAATAACTCTATGAAATATCATCTGAGGTCACTGTGGCTCGCGTTGTAACACAGTGTTAAAATACCAGTATTATATAGTTTTATAATATAGGCGTGTCTACGTCGCTCTCTTGATCTCCCTGTCAATGGATCTACATGAAAATTACCGAAATAACGTCAAGTTAATATTAAATTCAATGAAAATCCCNCCCTGTCAATGGATCTACATGAAAATTACCGAAATAACGTCAAGTTAATATTAAATTCAATGAAAATCCCCAAATTACAGAACTTTTGATGGTAAACTCCACCGAAATCTCTCTCCTGTTTAGTATCTGCTTCCCTCGCCAGTGCGAGCAGGCCAGCCATTCAGAACGAGGTGCACACAGGTCAAGGTGTCGTGTTGGCCCGGCTCTAGAGCTCTAACTCCTAATACATCTATAATTCTATTAATATTATTAAATTCTACTTATACTTTAATCGAGAAATCCTAAGATTTCAAATAATATATCTATTATTATATATATAATATATACCTTACTCTTACACTATCGCTGACTATGGTCAATCCCAGCCACTCCAGTGGCGCTCGTGCGCGACGGTGCGTGCACGTCTCCCGCGTCGCTGCACCGAGACAGAGGTTTCTTATGTGAGGCGAGCAGAAGGTATTTTTCTCTTGCTTTAACTCCTTAAAATTAATGAAGCTTCTCCACAGGTAAAAAGATAAAGGGATTCTAAACAGTTGCAGTTCTTTCTGTGCATTTTTTTTTGGGCGACAGCACGACGCAGGCTGTTTCAGGTGTTCAGCCTTGCGGACACTGACCGTTGACCATTGCCAGCACTTCTTTGGTTTTATCTGCCAGCAGTTCNGTGTTCAGCCTTGCGGACACTGACCGTTGACCATTGCCAGCACTTCTTTGGTTTTATCTGCCAGCAGTTCTTTGGTTTTATTGTTGGTGTTTTTGTCTATACATAATTGAATTTGACCCTGATTAGAATGCCCACTAAGGCAAGCCGAGATGTGCATACCATGGGTGGGGGAGATAAAGAGCACGAATTCGAGTTGCCTGCATTGAAGCTGGCCCAGTTGCTGAACTGTAGAGACATCGAATTGGAGGGATTGGGAATAGAGTATGTTAACACCAAGGCGGAGGATGGAGAAAGCACTTTCCATGCGGCTTTGATTGCTGAGGTTATAGATGGGCGGACTGTCGACTGTGTTCCGCTGACGAGCTGTGAGGACCTTGACTCGCGAGTGGATGATGAAGAGGCGAGGAAAGTTCCGTCTGTAATCCTTTCACTGAAAGTGCCGTCAAAAACTTATGTGGACCTCGAGAGCCCCCCGCAGAGTAAAGTAGGCTATGTGAGCCGGGGAGTGAGGGATGTAGAGGCAAGGCAGTTTCAGCTTGCGGGCATAACCGTGCCAAAGGCGAAACTGGATGACACACCAGTGACGAGTGTAGGTGGTTCTTCGTCGTCGAGGTCCTACGGCAGCGAACATCTGGATGCAGCGGGGGAGCCTCTGGGGGTGGCCGCTGCAGCTTCGCTTGCCGACCTCGTGCTGGNAGGAGGCAGAGCAACTGTACAGCTGTTTGGCAAAGAAAGCGTCGCGGGCATTGCAGACTGTTCATGAGCTCGAGACGACGGAACAGGAGGCGTCGCTGAGTTCATGGGACCGTCTGGTGACACTTGTGAAGAAACTTATATTAAAAAAAGGATGTTCTGCATCTACCGAAATATTGGGGTACTTTACCGGAGCTGTATTCGACTACAGTACTTGCCCTCCACTCATGGCTGTGGTTAGTGTAGCCGATGTTATGATGCAGCGCGGGCTGGCATGGTTAGATTCTGTCGGGGGAGAAAAAGGAATTCAGAAACCACAGGGGGGAAGATGGGGGAATTGTCGGTATCAGCATCTGATGGCGTTGCAAGAACGAGCCAGGAAAGCACGCCAAGGGGTATGGCAACTTCGGCGAGATGTACTGAAGGATCTTCGGCTTGACGAGGAGGGGAATTTGCCTCGTTTCAGCGGAGAAGAGAGTGCTTTCCCAGCTCTACTCCTTGCACAGATGTTGCAGTATCTTTCAGGCGACAATGGCGACGGAAAATCAACGGCTAAGGAGGAGAACGGGGGGCGCTTCTTTGCTGCACTTGTCACGAGAGTTGTAGATGGGGATACAGTACGTTTGGCCCCTGTGTTGTCAGACGAACATGTGCATAGGCTTATGCACGAGAATGAGAGACGCTCTATAAGNTCAGAACTGGAGTCATGGGGTGATGGAGAGAAGAGTGTAGCTGTGAAGGACGCGGACAAGCGCTTCATTCTAACTACCGTCTATGCCATAGACACGCCAGAGGTGGCGAGAGGGGGGTTAAAACCTTACACGGGTCGGGCTGTTTTGTCTGTCGGGGCACACCTCACCTACGGGAGTGAACAGCTGGATGAAGGGGGGCAACCGCTGGGCGTAGCGGCTGGGCGGGCAATGTCAGAGCTGGTCTTGGGGAGGGTTGTACTGGTAGAGGAGCTGGGGAGTGATTGCTTTGAGCGGCTTGTAGCGCGTATTTTTATCCCCGCTGTATCGGATAGTCTGCACACCGGTGCCGCTTCCCATGCTGCTTTCTTTTCTCTTCTATCGACGGAATTACGGTGCCTCTATATTAGAGATTTCGGTAGTGTGGCGGATCTGCCGCAGTGCACGGGGGTGCGTGGCGTGGTTTCCATCGTTCATAGAATCCGCAAAGCAAGATCAGGCAACTTGCAGCAGCTTCTGTTGGGGTGTATGAGGAGGATGGTGTACAATCACATCCGGGGTCTGATAGATGCCAGCGAGGAGATGTTGCGCAGGGGCCTCGCGCGCGTTTATTGTGCGGCGTCAGTAAAAGTGAAATACGGAGGCAAAGAACAGAAAAAAAGGTTAGAAGAGTTGGCTCGCACAGCGGAAAACAGAGGCTGCGGAATGTGGGGATTACCTTGGTGGTGCCAAGAGGATCCCAAGGAGCACAGAAGACGGACAAGGGGTGATGGACGTTTCACATGCAACGAGGGAAAACTGGAGCGGCGGAAGACTTGCAACAACATACTCATAAATTCGTGTATAGGGGGGAACGGAAACAGATAAAAGTTCTCAATGAGAAACCTGGACATGGCCATGGCCGACGGTGTTCTGTGGATGCGTGTGTTCATGCTCCAGTATCGTACCACATGGTTGTACAGTACTGTGCGTGGAAACTTTATGCGTATACAGAAGAATATACGTGAAAAGAAGGGATTAAGTATACATGCGGGACTGCATACACGACACGACAGTGTATTGAACACCATTGTTCACAAGTATTCTATGCTTTCTATACATTTTTCAGTTCACAGAGAGGGAGCTGCATATTCATTGCTGCCATTTATCTTCATCTCCACGGAAATACAGCGATGGGGTCTCGTGGACTCGACGCCCGGAGCTGAGGTGAATTTACTTTTGAAACACAACGAAGTTGCCGTCTATGTTATATATAATAAATACAGTGGGGTCAAACATACCGACCAGCTGTATGCACAGCATTTTCTTTTTTTTTTTTTCTTTCATATATATAAATATATATATATTCCTGGTGCTAGATTAAGCGCCTCGAGGTACACAGTGTACAGCATATATACAACACTGTATGTTACCTCGGCACCGGTCCAGGCCAAAGCACAGCATCTGGCGCCGTGTGCAACGCTTCATGTGTCACAGACCTGTACAATTCAGAAATACACGCAGTGCTATGTATGAAGAAAATTTCATACTACAAACCAGTGATCATGCAGAATGACGTGATGAAAACGATACTGTTATACACACTGTACAGCTTCTCGATGTGTTATATATATATATATATATATGTATATATATATATATATATATATA